GCCATGTGGGTCACTGAGGAGCAGCGGGCCATACCACACACCAGGGGCCAGGCCATGTGGGTCACTGAGGAGCAGCGGGCCATACTACACACCAGGGGCCGGGCCATGTGGGTGTGCCTATGCTCTGTGATGTCCCACAATGAGGGACGTGTCCCCAAGGTAAAGTGATGTGTCACCACACTTTCGCCAGGCTTCATTGTCTCTCTCCCCACCCTCCCGCTCCCCTTACTTTCCAGTTTCTTTAGCCAGCTGTCCTGTGTGCACATTCCTATGCCCTTTATAGACCTTGGAGGCTGAAGGGTTCTGTGAGCAAATGAAGCACTTCCACAGGTATGGATAGCCCGGCACCAGTGTGGCCCCTGGCAGGGCGGGCAGAGGGACCCATGCTCAGGAGGGTAGGTTGTGTGCCCAGGCCTGCTTCCAGATCCTTGTGTGGCCCTGAGCAAGGTCTTCCCCTCGCTGGGCCTCAACTTCCCCCAGACGTCCTCCCCTCTTGCATGTGGCCAAAATGGTCCCCTCCCTCTCTCTTCTCTGAGCAAGGCCTTCGGGGGGGAAATGGCACTGGGAATTTCCCACAGCAGCCCTGGCTGGGCCTACCGTCCAGCAAGACCTCTCCTGACTCAGAGGTCAGCCCATGGGTCAAGTCCAGAATGGTACTTCTTGTTGGTTCCACCATACCTCCCACCTGCCTGCCCTTTTCTCTAAGCAGGGCCTCCAGCAAGGAAACTCCCAGCACTGTCTCCCGAGCACGAGGCCCCTGCTGCTCTGGTGCTGTCCCTGGGGACATGACAAGGAGGTGCCCCAGTATCCTAAGGCCTGCAGGAAGAACGAGCCTTACCTTGAGGACGAACCCATCAGGGCAGGCGCGGTCATACTTGTACACCTTGTAGACGACCAGGAAGACAACACAGGTAAGGAAGGCCAGGGCAAAGAGGACCAGCACGGACACCTGTGGGCAGAGGCAGGGATGTCAGGGTGGTGGGGAAGGTAGCAGGACAGATGGGCATGATTACCCGACCAGCATGTGTAGAGACTGTCTCTGGAAGAGCTGGGGAGGACAGCTGGGGACCAGAGGTCAGGGGAATCGCTTTGCACCGGGCGACTTTCTGTAACATTTTAGTTTTTACCATATCCATGCATCGCTATTTTAAATTCTTGTTAGTAGTCAGCTGATCACAGAGCTTGGGGTACAGACAGGAAGCCTCAGCATTGTTGGGGGCCCATGGGCCACGTGGACACATAGCTGAAGCAGGGCAGCTGCTGCTGCTGCTGCTACTCCCTCCACTTGCCACCAAGGTGGCGCATCAGCCACTGGCTGAGCATCTGCTTCACAAATGTGTCCTATGCCTCGTGCTGGGACGTAGAGTCACATGGGCAACAGCCTGCCCTCAACACAGGACTAGCTCAGCAGGAAAGACAGAACCTCTGTGGCTTCCCCTGCGTGCTCAGTCAGCATCCAGAGGGACAGGGATTCGGTTTTCTTCTCTGTGCTACTCCAAGTATTCATCTAGCCCTGCATGTGAACTCGTGACAGCACTTGTGAGAGCCACGAGGAGTGGGGAGCCCTGCCCCAGAGGAAAGGCATGGGCAAGAGTCACCAGATGACACTGGCTGTGGACCCCGAAGATGCTCACCTGGCTGCAGAAGCTGGTGACACAATTACAAACTGCAAGCACAGTCAGCTGGAAGACAAGAGGCCACCTGTTGGGAGCACTGAGGTCCCTGGGTGACTCCTCCTCTTTGGGAGCCCCGTGTACCCCTGCAAGCAGGTTAAGAACCAGCCCTTGGGCCCAGGGCAGCGTTCCACCAGCTGCGCCACCCTGGAAGCCCCTGCCTGATGCTGGACATTGGCACCACCACCTCCCAGTGGCTGCTCGGCTGCAACGCCTATAAAGAGCCGTAATGACCACTGCAACTCGGTCCTCTGCCTCCCTCTCCTGGGCTCTGCATCTCCAGGCTTCAGGATTGTCCCCAAGCCTGCATCTTGGCCACAGGGCCAGCCACATGGGCAGCTCAGAGCTGAGGGGAAGTAGCCTCTCAGTTTCCTGTCCACCGTGCTGCCAGATTTGGCTGCCTCCCAGCACTCTCACCAAGCTCCCCAGGACAGGGTGAGGGCAGTACCAAGACCTCATGACCCAGCCCAGCCTGCTCCTGCCCGCCTCCCTGCACAGCTGCTGGCCATTGCCACACCCCATCTCCAGACCTCTCCTCCCCCAGCTCACACCCTCCGCAGCCTGAATGATACCTGTCCCCACTGTGTCCTCTTGCCCAGACAGGCAGAAAACCCTGCCATCTCTGAGGAGGCTCTACCTACACCTCTAAGTCCTGCTGACACCTCAGTCACATCCCTCCCGTCCACCCCCACCCTGATTTAGCCTCTGTGACCCTCCACTGGAACTGTTCTTCTCCCCAAGTCAGCCAGCCCTTCCCAGGCCATCACCCTCTCCTGCCTGGACAGCCTGTGTCACATATGGAGCCTTTGTGTCATGTGGGGATGCAGGACAGAGCCAGGCTATCTTCCAAGCCACAGTGCTCACAGGGCAGGGCCTGTCCAGCTGCCCACGGCGGTGGCAGCACAGAGGCAGGCGCATGAGCACTGGGACCCAGGCAGCTCAGTGTGGAGCTTGGTGACAAAGGCAGGCAGAGTTTTCCAGAGAAAGGAGGGCCGCTGTCCCAGAAGCATGCCCAGCAGGGCCTGCCAATGACAGCAACAGGCCTTGACAATGCCTAAGGCTCAGGACAGGCTGTGGCAGAAGGGGTCTGGGTCTGGGGTCTAGGCCTGGCTCCTGCCTATGAGAGGGCAGTGGGAGGACCACAGGCCAGTACAGCCCCAGAATGCTGAGGGTAGGTACTGGGCACAGCAGTGTTACTGCTCACATGCCCTTGCTGGCCCACAGTCACACAACTGGCTGGGCTGTGAACCCTCTCTGCCAGCTGCCCTGTCCCATGCTCCCCTGACCTCTTCCTCATCCACACCTGCCCTGCCAGGCTTTTCTCCACCATCTACACAGCACCTCCTCACCCCACTCAGCAGTCCCTAGCAAGACTGGGTCCAATATCACAGGCCTCCCTGGTAACCCCTTCTATTCTAATTTGTGCATTTGAAAACACTACTCTGAGAAGAGGTTTGTGCCACACCACGGGCTGACACACCCTGTTAGGTTAGGAGTCAAGTCCTTGGAGAGACAGGGCATCCCTCAAATCTGTCCTTGGAGTCTGGCTCACAGCACCCACCTGCCTAGGTCTAAAAATAAGCCCTCTCCCCAGAGCTATGGGGAAAACACCTCCTCAAGGGTGTCTTCTGCAGCCAGACCCAGGCCTTTCACCCAGGCCCCCAGGTCTTATAGCTGAGGAGCTCACGGCACTGAGAAACCAAAACCTGACAGTCCTGGAACAGGTGAGGGGAGAAGGATGATCTCTGTAGGCTGCCCTCCCTGCCCCCACTGGCTTCCCCTTGGCCACTGCGTGGCATGGCCTTCCCCATGGTGTCCCTGGCCTGAAGAGAGAGGGCCACAGGCTTTCCAGGAAGATCCCCAATTGGCTAAGAATTGAAGCCCGGCTCTCTGCAGTGGGGACAGTATGTCACACACTGATGCATTCATAAGAAGGGCAGAGACCAAGGGCTGAACAGGGCTGGGTCTTGCTGGAGGCCAGTGTCCAGCCCCCAGAACCTGTGAATGGGATGTGATTTGGAAATAGGGTCTTTGCAGATGCAATCACGTTCAGATGAAGTCATGAGGTGGCCCTCACCCAGCCTGAGGACTCTGCACATTTATCGAAAGAGGAAATTTAGCCACAGAGATGGACACATGTGCAGGGAGAAGACCAGCACACCCCCCAGGGAAGAAGAGGGCGACACTCCACCTCTGCACACCGAGCAGCACTCAGGCTGGCTGGCAGCCAGCAGCGTCTTCCCTGGGGTCAGAGGGCTCCCTGAAGGGCCCTGACATCTTGACTCAGACTTCTGGTCCCCAGAACTGTGGGAACAAATTTCTCTTATCTGATCCCCCAAGTCTGTGGCACTTTTTTATGGCAGTTCCCAATGGCAGGCCTATGCTGGGGTCCAGGGCTGGCTCGCCTCCCCTGAAGCCCTCTATTTGCCACTGGCCCTGCACCTTCCCCGGGATGCCAGGCTGTGCTGCCTTCCATCCTCCTTGCCCTTCAAAGCCCAGCCAGCACCCCTAGCTCCAGGAAGGCTCTGGAACATCCCAGTCCCTCTCTGGACACCTGTGGTACATGCATGCACTAAACAACCCAGCATCTGTTTTCCTAATTCAAGTAAAATAAACGTGCGTCCTGGTTTAGAGACTTTTGTGAGCCTCCACACCTCCTACCCCATGAGATAATTAGGAATATTTGAGAACAAAAGGTGAAATTACTGAGCCAGATATATGTGTTCCCTTCAGACCCTTAGAGCATCTGTTAGGCTTTCCCTACAGTGACACACCAGGACCATTAGCATCTTTAAGAGCCACTGTGACCCCTAGCAGCTCCATCTTTCAGCCAGTTTAAAAATACTTGGGCCAAAAGATGAACTGGTCATTTGTAGTCCTGGACTAAGAGTGAGACAACCCCGGGTTCCAGACCTGCTCAGCCACAGTCACCCTGGGAAGAACATGGCCCCCCAGCCCCTGGCTCCTCTCATTTCTGAAAGGGGGTGCCAGCCCAGCACCTGTGTGCACAGTTGGGCATGGTAAGCCCTGTCACACACTGCCCACAGGGAAGAAACCTGGAGACTGTCCAGTCCAGCACCTTTCTCTACATACGACAAAGGCCCAGACACAAGAGGCAGCACCCTCAAGTCAGCCAACAGGACCTGGGTGACCATAAGAGCAAGAAGAGAAGGAGGGGCCTTTCCAAGTGACCCCTGGCTGGGGGATCCTGTGAGGATTGTGGGAGCTTCTGAAAACCCCAAGGTCAGGGCCCCACCTGGAGTAGTGACTGGATGTCAGAGTGGGACTCAGACATCAGTACTGTTTATAACTCCTCAGATGCTCCCGTGCACTGCCTAGGCTGGGAGCAGTGGACAAACAGAGGATTCTGAGCAGAGTTTCTGGAGCCAGACTCAGCCCTCCCAGGACAGCCACTACTGTTAGACGAGTCCTGTGCACTCCGAATGACAGCACCTGCAAGGCAGGGTCACTGACCACATTTTACAGGTTGAGAAACTGAGGCTCAGATGTAGATGACTGGCCCACGGAAAGATAGCTGCGGCTGGCTGAATAATGCCCCCCAGGGATATCCAGGTCCTAATCCCTGGAGCTTTACAAGGTAAGGGATTTGTAGGTGTATCTGGACAAAGGTCTGGAGATGGGAAGATAACCCTGGGTTACCCTGGTGGGTCCTGGATATCCTCATGAGAGGGAGACAGATGTAGACCCTACAGAGGGGAGGTGGTGTGAGGATGGAGAACACTGCAGTGGGGTCTGGAGTGGAGGAGGTGCACAAGTAAAGGGATTTGGCTCTGGAAGACAGCCAGTGAGGGCCATCACTTTGGAAGTAATTTGTTATAGCAGCCCCAGAAAACTCATCTATCTCTCTCCTTTCAAATTTGTCTCCCCACAGATGGGCCTTGAGGGCGGGGCTGATCCACACATCTGGCACAGAGAAGGTGCCTTGTGCACAGTGAGCGAGTGAGTGAGTGAACCAGTTGGCAGAGAACCCCTCTCCTAATGAGCACTCACTGAACAACCCTCAGGCTCCCACAGCCAACTCTAGAGTAATGTCTACATAGCAAACAGAACAGAAATTTAGTCTGCAAGAAGCACCCTGTGCCTTGATGAAGACATTGCTTAAATAGAGCCAGTTCTTAACCAATGGTCCACCTGGGAAGGAGGAGGGACCCAGGGCAGCTCTTCATGCCTGCCGAGAGCCCTGGAGAGCCCCAGGTTGATGGCCAGTGCCTGTCTTCTACCCTGGTCTCGGGGTGGGCCCATGAGCTTACAGGCT